CAAAATAGGTTGTTCGTGGGACATTGATATTGAGCCAGAACCTTCTACTAAGGCCACTAATAATGAAGAGATGTGAATGCAAATGTGGAGAATATAGTTGATGCATCTAAGCCTCAAATTAATAAATTAGTGGGGTCAGTTCCTCTAGAACCACTTGTGTTAGTTCCTTCTAAACCATTTATGGAGCTTCAATTGAGAAGATCTACTAGAGAGTTTTGTCTTTCACAAAAATATTCCTCTCGTGAGTATGTGTTGTTGACTGATTAGAGGGGGCAAAGAGTTAGGAAAAAAGCTATGTCACATGAAGAGAAGGATAAGTGGTATAAAGTCATGCAAAAAGATATGAAGTTCTTACATGAGAACCATACATTTGAGTTAGTGAAGTTGCCTCAAGTCAAGAGAGTACCAAAAAATAAATGGGTGTTCAAGTTGAATTAGAGGAGAATTGCTCACAACCAAGGTACAAGACAAGATTGGTTGTGAAAGACTCCAGTAAGAAGAAAAAAGTTAATTTTGAAGAAATATTTTCACTCGTGGCCAAGATGTCTTCAATTAGAGTTGTGTTTTGCCTAGCAGCTAATTTGAACTTGGAGGTTGAGCAGCTTGATGTGAAGACCACTTTCCTCCATGGTGACTTGGAGGAAGAAATTTGTATAGATCAACTTGAAGGTTTTGCAGTTGAAGGAAAATAAAAGCTTGTTTGCAAATTGAAGAAAATCTTGTATAAGCTCAAGCAAGCTCAAATGTAATAGGAAATTTCATGGGCATGACTAAACCTCTTATAATCATTGTGTGTTTGTGAAGAAATTTTTTAACGAAAGATTTATTATTCTCTTACTTTATATGGATGACATATTGATTGTTGGTCATAACATGTGAAAGATTCAAAATCTCAATAAAAAATTTGAATAAGTCCTTTGCAATGAAGGATTTGGGTCCTACAAGGTAAATTCTTGGCATGAATATTATCCGTGACAAGAAGAATGGTAAATTGTGATTATCACAATAAAAGTATATTAATAAGGTATTAGAGATAACTAATATGGGTAGTTCCAAGTCTTTTAGTACTCCACTTGCATATCATTTCAAGTGAATCTCTAAGCAATGTCCTACAAGGGATAAAGATAAAGAAAAATGCAAAAGATTCCATATGCATATATGATTACTAGCTTGATGTATGCACTGGTGTGTACAAGAGTAAATATTGTTCTCGTTGTTGGTGTTGTTAGTCGTTTTCTCCCTAATCTTGGTAAAGAGCATCGACAAGTTGTGAAGATGATACTTGGATGTCTCAAAGGTACTTTTGGTGTTTGTTTGTATTTTGGAAGTGACGAGCCTATGTTGAATGGTTACATAGAAGCATACATGGCCAGAGATGTGATTCCAAGAAGTCTACTTCTGGTTATATGATGATTTTTGCAGGGGAAGCAATGTCATAACTATCTAGATTATTGTTCTATCTTTTACAAAGGCAGAATATATTGTCATAACAAAAGTTGTCAAGGAGCTCTTGTGGATGAAAAATTCTTACAAGAGTTAGGACTTTCATAGGAAAAAATGTTTTATATTGTGATAGTTAAAGTGCAATCCATTTTAATAGGAACTCAACTTTTCATTCAAGGTTGAAGTGCATTGAGATTTAATATGATTGGATCCATGATGCGTTGAAGATAAAACAATTATCATGAGAGAAAATCCATACTAATGATAATGACTTAAATATGATGAAAAAGACTTTACCTCTAAGAAGTTTGTTATTTGCAAGGAAAAATCATGTTTGGTTGACTACTCCCAACTAACTGGTATGGGGATATTTGTCAGGTGGGTCATCAATTTATTTAGACTCATATTTACTTAGTTGGTTTAAAGAAAAAAAAGGCTGTTTTGGAGAGTGGGCCAAAAGCCCATTATTTTCAATGTTATTTTTATTAGCATCAATTCTTTGAGAGACAACCCAAGAGAAAGAAGAGAAATCAGATAGTAGTATGTGTGTCTCTTTGTGCAACAAAGAGAAGAAAGAAGAAATTCTTGAGGAGTGTAACAACTCGCTTGACAAAGAAGTGTTTGGTACCAATTTTGTTGTATTTTGGTTTTCTTTATTGTCTGGTTAAATACCCATTTGAGATTTTTTTTGTATGGTTATTCACCCTATTTGTTTAGGAGTATTTTTCTAATGATCCTTAATGGTTATAGGAGAACTTTTCGTGTTCCCAATAATTATTATTGGTGGAGTTTTTATTAGACTAGATCCTGTAATTTTTTTTACCCCACATTAAAGGTTTTCTCACGTTAAAACTTGACGCTTATTGATTTCTATTTTTTTTGTTTTATACGTAGAAAAGAGATCCAATTTCTGTTTCTACTTAATTATTATTTGTTGTCCCCCCCCCCTCCCCCACAACAATGTGCAATCCAAATGGTGATTACATTTGTGTGCCCAAACATTTTATTAGTCTTTGAGTACATGTCTCAATGATATTTTATAGTGTTTTTCTTATGCTTCCATGTGGTAGGAATAGGGATGGCAATGAGGCCCCATGGGGCGGGTAATAATAAACCCGTCCCCGCCCTGCTAGATGAAAATTGGCCCCATACCCACCCATATCCGCGCGGGTATCGATTAAGCGGGTATCCATGAATTTCTTGAATTGAATAAATGACATGAAATGTGAGGACCAACTCTAACTACAATAGCCTACCAGTAGTGGATTTGGATAATTTAGCTAAAGTTTTGTATTTAAATGTCATTTAATGTATGATTATCAGCCTGGCAAGAGAGTTTGGGTATTTTTCAAAGTCTTTTGATCAATACTTTTTTATTATTATATTATTTATGTAAAGTATTTATTATTTCTCACTGACACGATCAAACTTTATTATAGACATTGTACGTAAAAAAATCATTATTGTTTACGAAAAGAAAAATCATCATTTCCACCTTTATACATTAAAAAAAATGTGTTACTCTTCATTGATTTTAATGCAAGTGAATTTATTAGCAGTGACAAAGTATTGTAAATGAATATTCTAAGATTTGTTTTTCGGTTCTATAACTTTATTCATTTTTTAATTAATTTTTTTATAAGCTCATTTTTTAATATTATACACATATATATACATATATTCTGAGTTTAATATATGAAATGATGTTTTCAAGCATCACATAAAAAGTTTTTTATTTAATTTTTTTTACACAAATTAAGATAAATTTATTTTTAATTCTCAAGATAATACTTTTAGACTTTTAGTCACTATAATGTTAAAAAAAAACTAAATTTTTTATTTAAATATCATTAGTGAATATGTAAAAAAAATCATTTATTATTAAATTTGTTATATAAAATTTTATAAATTTGTGTGTCCGAAGTTGGAGAAATGAAATTTTCATTATTTGAAAAAAATATGATATACAAGTCTCAAATGTTTGTTCATGAACCTAAATTAGAAAAAGGATGGTTAAATTTGTATGATAAATCTATATGATTAAAATTGTATATGAATCCTTTATAATTATGTTTGAACTTGATGTTAAAAAGTAAAAATGAGATAAGTTTTTTATTCATCATGAGAAAATATAAAATATTATAATCCTAAATATTTATCTCTATCTAACAAATTGAAAAGACGAGACTCTAATTGTTAAATAAATATTATGTTCATCAATGGAAAAATTGAGCTATGAACTTCAAATTTTTGTCCTTGAGTCGACAAAAGTCATTTTAATTCACAAAAATAAAATGAAAATTTATGATTATGATTGATTCTGAAATAATAAATAGAGTTGATTATTATTTAATTTTTTATTTATCATAAAAAAATACAAGATATTAAAATCTTATATATATATATATAGATTTAGTAAAAATATCATATTAAATATACCTAATATGTGATCATCAGTGCTATAAATGATCTTGAGGAATCAAACAATTTTTATTTTCAAAATTACATGAACTAAAAAATTAATTTTAAATTTTAAAAATTAAAAACAAGGTTATCTAAAATTTAAGGAGCTTAGAAAATAATTTTTGAAAAAGTTTATTGAAAAGATTCAAAACTAATTGTTAATAATATTGAGTCATATAAAAAGAGAAATAAAAATTGACCACGATAAATCATGTTAATTTAGCTAAAGTTTTGTATTTAAATGTCATTTAATGTATGATTATCAGCCTGGCAAGAGAGTTTGGGTATTTTTCAAAGTCTTTTGATCAATACTTTTTTATTATTATATTATTTATGTAAAGTATTTATTATTTCTCACTGACACGATCAAACTTTATTATAGACATTGTACGTAAAAAAATCATTATTGATACCCACGGGTGCGGGTATTTTTGCTATCCCTAAGTAGGAATGACTTCACTCAAGATTTGTTGATGGTACATTTAGGATAGATTTTTATATTCTTAAGGTATGTGTGTAATTTTGCATTGCCAATTCTTTAGCATTTGATCCCTTATGTCATAAGGACTTCATAATTAGTATAGATGTGAATTTCATTATCTTCAAAAAGTTATACTTGCAAACAATCTACTTCACATATAAGATAGTAAATGATATGCTCCTATTAGTTTTCTAAGCACATTTGTTAGAAATTATTTAATTATTAAAAACATAATTTTATTATGATATATGCGTGATAAATCTATGTGACAAACAACTCATCATGTTAATACATGTAATAAACACTAATGTGTCAATATAACAACCACTTCATTAATTTAATTGTTAAACTTAATAATAAAGACTAATCATATCGATGAAAATAGAAATTAGAATTAGAAATATTCGTTTTATGAGAAACTAAAAATAAAATTTGTTATATATTAAAGTAGTTAAAAATATATTTAAATTTATAATTTTTTAAATATAAAAATTAAAAAGTATATTTCATACATATACATGAAAAGGGTAGCCCTTTTATAAGTTTTATTCATTTGATTTTTCCCTTTTATTAATTTTGAAAAGATACGAGGCACACTCTAGGTAGAACTAGAAACTCTAGAATCAAGTTCGATACTTCCATTCCCTAACTATCCTTTTAAAAAAATGTCATCATCTCTTCTCCCTCTCCGCAACACACCACCATCACTCCTCCATTTTCTCCCTTCAACCCCTCTTCCATTCCAACCACAACCCATGTCCACTTTCTCTACTTCCCTCTCTCCCTCCACATCCACATCCACCTCTCAAAACAACCTCGACCAGCCCGAGCACAACCTCTCCCACGTCCTCAAATACCACAACCAAACCAAACACAACTTCAACCGCTACGCACGGGGCCCCCACGGGCTCGACTGGGCCAACCAGCCCAACCCATTCCGCAGGTACCTCTCCTCCCCTCTCCTCCCCCTCCTCCACCCGCAACCAAACGCACACCAATCACCACTCTACCACTCTCTCTTCCGTTCTCTCCCCTCTCCGCACCCCATTTCCGAATCCACCGTTTCCCACTTCCTCTTCGATTCCCTCGCTCTCTCCGCCTGGAAAACCACCGGCTTCTCCACCTGGTCTCTCAGGGTCAACCCCAGTAGCGGCAATTTGCACCCCACTGAAGCCTACGTCGTTGCCCCACCGATACCCTCCATCTCCGATTCGCCTTTCGTCGCTCATTATGCCCCAAAGGAGCATTCTTTGGAGCTCAGAGCCAAAATCCCATCTGGGTTTTTCCCCAAGTTTTTTCCACCCAATTCGTTTCTCGTTGGGTTGTCCTCGGTTTTCTGGCGCGAGGCTTGGAAGTACGGTGAACGAGCGTTCAGGTACGAGTAAACTACGAATTTCGGGCTTAGACTCTTCCCTTTCTCTCTAATATAAAAGTAGTTTTATAAATATTAGTAATCATGTTAAGAAGTAGATTAAGAGAAGGGGCTTGTTCCTTATGATATGGTGGACCAATGTTCGAATTTCCTTTAAGAGAAGGGTTTACACAATATGTCGAATAGAGCCTCTATCCCTTGTAATAGAGTGAAGGGTCATTTTGGTCCGTGAATTTGGAAGAGGCTGTTGTAGTAGCCTCTGAAACTGAGAAAATGTCAAATAAGTTATTGAAAGTATAAATTTATAATCACATTAGTCCAAAATTCAAGAAAATGTGTGCCTTGAGTGATAACTTTGATATAAATGATCAAAATGACAATAAGTTATTAAGTTTAAGGGCTTATTTGACATTCTAATGACTTATTTGAGGTTGTCATAGTTCCAGGGATTAATGTGTCAGTGCTCATCATTTTCAGGCATTAAAATGACTATTTATTCCTATAATATGGTGAACCAAAGTTCAAATTTCTGTTAAGAGAACTGTTTACATTTTCAATATGTCTAATAGGATTGCCTCTTTCAGAGGATATTTGTGGGGTGAAAAAATGAAAAATGCTTCAATTTTGTCAACTTTTCTAAAATTACATTCACTTAGGGACTAAAGTGATGAATATTTTATACTTCTAAGATTACTTGAATAGTTTTGTAAGATTAAGAACTACTTAGGAGAGAGAATAATAGTTTAGGGACAAAATTGATGGTTTATTCATTTCAGGTACTGTAACCATGACGTTGGTCATGCCATTGGTGCAGTTGCCATGGCTGCTGCGGGTCTTGGTTGGGATGTGAAGGTTTTGGATTCTCTGGGGTGTGAGGAGTTGAAGAGTCTCATGGGGCTTCATGTTTTCCCAGAGTTTGAGATTCCATCACGTGCTGTTAGAGGGAAGATTCCAGAGATTGAGTTTGAGCATCCTGATTGTGTGATGCTAGTTTATCCAAGTGGGGTTGGTGGGTTTGATGTGGATTGGAAGGAGTTAAGTGAAGCTATATTGGGGTTTGATGAGTTGGAGTGGAAAGGGAAGCCTAATTCCCTTAGCAAAGAGCATGTGTGTTGGGATCTTATTTATAGGACTGCTGAGGCTGTGAAGAAGCCTTTGACATTGGACGATAGGTTCTCGGTTGAGCCTTTTCAGAGGAGTGGTGTTTGTGGTGAGGGTTTCTATAAGGGGTTAACTGTGAGGGAAGTTGTTAGGAAGCGTAGGAGTGCTGTTGATATGGATGAAGTAACTAGAATTGAGAGAGATGCATTTTATCAGATTCTGTTGCATTGTCTTCCTTCAGGTTGCCAGGTTGGAGGAAGGCAAAAGAGGCAGCTGGCATTGCCATTCCGTGCGCTTCCATGGGATGCCGAGGTGCATGCTGCTTTGTTTGTTCATAGAGTGGAGGGGTTGCCGCAAGGATTGTATTTCTTGGTGAGGAATGAAAATCATTTTGATGAATTGAAGAAGGCTATGCTCCCTGACTTTTTGTGGACCAAACCTGAGGGCTGCCCTGATGAGCTTCCGCTGTATGAACTGCTTAGATCTGATTGCCTGAAGCTTGCCAAGCAGCTTTCATGTCACCAGGTATGTGACAATTGGATAATGCCTACATCTTGTGTTCTAAATTTTTGCAGTGCTTTATGGAGTTTCTTAAATGTCTGGAAAGTATGTTGTTACATGATCAAATAGTGCTTTAGTTAGATTCTGAGACAGTCACTTAGGAGATAAAAAAAAATGTCTTCGTTTATTTAGGATGACAGTTTTGAGGGTTTGCTGCTATTGTTTTTAATGGTTATGTGTTTTGAATGTGACTTTTTCTTTTAAAGAAGAATTATTATTGAAATTTGGTTTACTGGATTAGTATTTAGTAATACATTTAACTGTTTCGCAATTCAGACATTGTACTGTCTGGTAGTCTTATCCCTACCATTGAATTAGCGAATAAGATGCAGTTTGTTTTTAATAGCATCACAATTTGGAATTTGAATTTGAGGGTACATTAAGTTATTTTATTTTTATTATCCTAATTCCTAAGAGCTACTGATTTTGTGGGATAGAAATGATTTAGGGTTTGTGATTTATTCTGTCTATTAATAATTTAATACCTCTAATGTAAAATGACATTATACCATTCATTGTATAATACTAATAACAGTCTTATTTCTAACTAGAATCTTAACAGACACTCAATGAATATTGCATATCCCTTTTTAATTGTGACACATTGACATGTAAGTGCAGGACATTGCAAGTGATGGTTGCTTCAGCCTTGGTATGTTGGCTCGAATGGAACCTACTTTGCGTGAGAAGAATGCTTGGATGTATCCACGTTTATTTTGGGAGACTGGAGTCCTTGGACAGGTGCTGTACCTTGAAGCACATGCTGTTGGAATCTCAGCAACTGGAATTGGTTGCTTCTTTGATGACCCTGGTATGATTCTTTATTCTCACCATTGCTTTGGAAACTTTGGTCTGGTGGCAGTTATTTTAGTTTTGGTAAATATTTGATTTTCTGCTGAGTCCTTGCAAAGATAAATGATTATATTGAGTTTTATATGAGAACTGTGAAGTAGTTAATACCTAATCATCATCAAGGCAATTAGACTTTCACATCAAGTGAGCATTGATACTTTAGCTTCATTCTTCGTTGTTCCATTATGTTGACAAGCATTAGAGTTGTTATTGTGCTGTCACTTTTATACAGCCATGTTAAGGTCCACTTGTGGAATCTAATTATCTAATCCTTATGAATTATGATCATGGTCAATCAGGCAGACGCCAGTCTTGTGTTACCTCAATGACACTTGAAATCTGATTGGTTGGTTAACTAATCAAAAGCAATGCCATGTTATCAGTCTTTTATTGCAGAAAGATTTCAAGTCACTCAAAGGCTGTTAAGATTAACCATTTTTATAGCTATTGCCTCTGGTATCTGGGTTTTTCTGGCTGTCTTTTTGACACTTAAGTTGGTAGCATGGTATGTATTTCACAAGAATTGCATGTTATCCTGATAAAAGCTCTCTAGATGGAAAACCAGATTCTAGAACATATTCTATGTTCTCATTTTAAATAGCAATTGATGAATTAAACAAATAATGGATTTGCTAATTGCTAAAGAGTAGTGATTGTACCTTTTAGATGAAGAACCAGATTCTCGGATCCTGAGTTCTTACTTTTTCTGGCAATTGAATTACAGAAACATAATCATGAATGATTGAGTTGTGGCACATGTCTGTTGTAGGTGAGTGAAGCATCTGTTTTTGGCCCACAAAATTGGTTATAGAGGAGAGAAAAACCATTTGAAAATAGTGCTTAGGATGGATAAGCTTGGGGTTTAATGTTACTCAGCCTGGAACCTGTATGCCTAATCATGTGGCAACTAGAGGACTGGAATATTATAGGACACATTTCCTGGTCATTTAAGAATGAAATTTGACTGCTCTCCATTGATAAGACCACTAACTAAATAGATATACATATTTTCAGGAGAAATATTGTCCAGTACTAATGCAATTATTAAAAAGTCGTTACTTGAACAAACCGCAAATGTGAAAATTTTGCTCGTACTGTTCTTGCATTTTGGAATCAGTATAGTTATTGAAAATCTTGCGTTCTTTTGCAGTTCATCAGTTGCTTGGGTTGAAAGGGTCAGCATTTCAGAGTCTCTATCATTTTACTGTTGGAGGTCCTGTCTTGGACAAGCGTATAATGAGTTTGCCAGCATATCCAGGCCCTGATGTTGATGCTTAAAGCTGCGCAATGACTTCAAATTGCCATTCAATGTTTAGGGCCTCTTAGATGAATCTCTTAAAACACAATTTCTTTAAATTGTTGTATACCCATGTATATGTGAATTGCTCTACGTAGGTAAAATCTGGCCTGCATATATACCTACACATTTGATAATTTTTTACCGTAGTAAATAACTACCTTGTATAGTAAATGTGTAAGTTTTCATAGTAATAAATCTGGATTAGATATCGTGAAGACCATGGTATAGTTAGCTTTAGAGTTTGGTATATATTGGTTTGAACTGCCAGGACCATATTGCTAATTTGTTACTTTCCACCTATTATAAAAGCCACATTGGCATTTTGTATCAAAATTTTCTCACTCGGTATAATTTCTAGATTTCTCGCATTATCTCAATTTTCTTTCATAGTGATGAGATTTACTCTGAAAATGTCTTTATCTTTCTGCTACCCAGTGCAAATATGTTCTCATTTTTTACTTTTTCTCAAATTTACGGACAGTTCTTTCTACCTATCTCTTTTTCAACGTTAACTTTCTCATTTTATTATTATTATTATTATTATTATTATTATTATTATTATTATTATTATTTCTCAGGAATTTAATGTAATAAAATCAAATATTTTACGTTTCTTTTCTCTCTATCACCAAATTTCCTTAGTTTTGTTTTGCAATGATTAAATTTGAGAATTTTGTTTATGTTAGTGCTTATATCTGGCATGGAAAATGGGTGTATGAGAAAGGTGGGGTGAATGACGGAAATACAGCATAAAAAGAAGGTTGCAAAGTAGATGGAGTTAACTAAGAACCATAAAAGGATAACTTTGAGTGATTGCCCTAATTCATTCTCGTTCGCACCTTTACCAATTATGGTTTTGATGAGTAGATGACAACTGTCCCCTCTTCAATGAATTGCTTCAAAAAACTTTTCAAGCCCTTGAATACCTCAGGATCATAGCACGTCAAGAGATTTTTGGGTTTACACAGACCAATTCCATTGTGGGGTCAAATATTTACTAACCCAACATTGTTGGTTGCAAGCCGAATCCAGTACACTTTTTTTCTTTTTGTTTCGAAAAATAGCTTTTAATCTCAAGTTTTCGTGGATTAAATTCTTTTTGTCACTAACAGACCAAATGTACAAATTCAAGACTAAATACACAAAAACCCTGTCATGGTGGCCTTCAACCATTATAGTGTCGGATTTCAAAATTAATTTGCTGGCCACAATTACACAAATAATTCAAGTTGACTAATGACTATGCTTGAAATATACACGGTATAGTTGTCATCCCATGGAAAATTGACTGGCGTTCATCATGTGAAGGTGTATATACCTTGGTCATCAAGTAGAGCAGAAAATTGACATAAATATAATATACATACACATAAATAAGTTTCAATAGAATTTTCAGTGCATCTGCATACGTTCATCAAAATGACATCTACATCAATCTGTACTGTGCAATGCTTTCAAGCGGTAACTGTACATCCAAAATGTAAATTTTCTTCTTTAAAATTAAAATTAGATATAGACAAGATGGATTCATGGATAGCTTTTCAAAGACCCTCTAGTAACTCAATGATTCAACAAATGGCATTATTGCAGTTCTTGATGGAGTCTGGAAGACATGCACATAGTGCATTGTACAATTATTTCATTGTTCTAGTAAAAATGATGGTCCACAAACACATTTCTAAATCTATTTGTGACAATTTGCATTATTTGTACCAAACTTGATTTTGATATAACCAGTCAGTAGCAATCTGAGCTTCCTCGGTATGTAAGAGTCACATCTCTCATGTGATAGAACAGTGCCGTATTTATTGCAAAAAGGTTCACAATTCCACATAATGTTCCAATTTGTCTTAACTCTGAATGCCCCTGCAAAGTGAATTCCAGCAATCCCACTACTAGCAAGGATCTGATGCCAAGACGGATACACGAATGAAACTTAGGAATATGGGACTGAAGCAGTGACATGACATGTTGGGGTTTATTCTAAAATTTGAAGTTGTTGAATGTTTCAATGTGCTTTAAAATGCCCTAGTCAAAACCATGGCCAAGTTGATCTATGTATGATCATCCACCTCCTGATTTTCAGGGATTTTAAGCTTTGATGTTTAACTAGCTCCAACTTATCTCCAGTGAAGAGTAACTTCGGTGGTGACCGATTGCCACAATGACAATGAGTCAATTGCAGAAAAAATGCCAAGCATCAAAAGAACACTCGGAAATTTCAATTCATACGGTAGGGATTGCTGCATCCAATAATGAAATCAAATCAATATTTGAAGGAATCTAAGAAAAGTCCCAGTGTAAGGCCAGCCTTCCAATAATTAAACACGGAAATAAGGCTCCTGTTCTTGCTAAGTAAAGGAATAGAAGCATTGTACATGAGAGCCCCAATGCCTTCCACAACAGCCACAGCCAAGGCAGCAGATAGAATATCCCAGTCACCAGTTTGTCCAATAACAGTGGCAAAGGCCGTTGCACAATAAAATCCAACCAAGAAGAAAAGCAGCTTCATTGGAAGATTTTTCTTTACCTCCTGAATTTTAGAACCTAACTTGGTCTGAAACTCTTGAATCACTCTAATTATGCGTGTCCTTCCATTAGTGCCATTTGAAGTGGAAGGACTAAAACTGCTGTCATTTATGCTGCTCCTAACTGACCAAGTCATCCTCCTGAAGAGGAACATAAAGACTTAATATCCTAAGAAAAAGTTCAATAAGAAATGGCTCTCTTCATATAATTAACTACCTATAGGGTAATAGAGTGTATGAAGTGTTTCAAACAGCGTGCATGCTTGTGCAGACCCATTTATATAAATATAGCCGAAAAATATCATCTGTTTTGAATGATAAAGTAACACTTGTGTACCCTTTTAGGTAAAATCTTTGAAATAATAAGGATATTACTTTATAATTTTTCCATCAAATTAAAGCTATAAAAATTTTGTAATGCAACACATTTCATCAATCCTGTGAAGATAAACTTCACCATATTTAAAAAAAAAAAAAAAACTTCTCATCATCTATTAAAGACCTAAAACTGATCCATTACTTTAAATTAGTCAGACCTAATTACAGAATTGGAAAATTTGTAGCCCAATAAAACACAAGAGTAGAACTGTCAATCAACAAAGGCAGGTTTATAACATAACCCCGTATTAAATATAACTATGCATCTGAGCTCCATGTCAGCATTTATTTGTCACAGAACCTCCAACTATACAACATATAATATCATATATCTAAAGGCATCTCATTATATGGCTAGATTCTCCGCAGAATTGATGATAGAATAGAATATCATGGCATAAACTGCTACTGACTTACTTGAAATTGACAGTTAAACAAGGTTGAGCAAAACTGGAGAAGCATGGAGAGCATTGCTTCTGGCCAAACATGGTTTTGTAAAGGAATGCAGCAATACCAACTTTAGAAACACCTGAACCGATGTAATCAAGAGATTTAACTTTGGCACTAGTCATACAACTGGAGGGTGCCATCCTAGTTGCAAATAACATGCAGAGTCCTCACTCCTGAAGATGATACAAGATGTAAGAAACATCAATAGGCAGATTACCACTGGATGCACCAAAAGATGAAACATGTAATCACAAACAACTGAAACACCCCAAATCAATTATATCAGATACAATGATAAATGAGACCATAAGTAAATTGGAACTACCATTTTCACATTAAGATAGACACAGAGAACATAAACAAGACCCAAAAATTCTTCACAAAACAAGTTCATTGAAAAACCACATGAGAGAATACCTTCACATCAATAAAGTGCTTGGAGCTGAAAATTTAATATACAGAAATATGAAGTACAAATAACTTTATGCAAATCTTTGCAAAAAATAACAATGAATTCAACATATACCAAACAGTGCCTCTCAATTTTTGAATTGGGTGTTGTCTCTTATCATCTTTATATTACAGTAATCTGACACAATTTAACTGCTTGTGCAAGATTAAAAGATAACATGATGCGATTTCAATGCTAAGTTTAGGCGAATAAGTAACCCTCTATAAAAAAATTTAACAAAAAATTACATCATTATTTGGTTTTCGTTAATTGAAAAAGCAGATTAAAATATAAAAAAAAAATTACAATTTTGAAGTGGAAGCACAATCATTGAGGCAAAATGGGCGTTTGAGTAATGAAAAGTTAAGGCTAAAAAGTGAAGTTAGGAGCTTACTGTGTGTATTGTTGATGAGAGCAAAGGGAGAATTTAGTGTGAAATTAGGGTGCGAAGTTGTATCAATTGAAGCTGTTATCATTTCCGAACAAAACGTACACTTTGGGAACGGTGTCTTGCCCTCACCCTTTTCCACAATTCTTTCATTTTTTTTATTTTTTATTTTGGAGTATAAACTCTTTCGGTGTTTTCATTTACCAAAAATAGAATAATGCTATTTTATTCATTAATTAATTATTTCCTCAAAAGAATTTCAATATGTAAAATATCAAATATTACGCCCATTCCTTTCTTTTTACTTGTGAGTTGGGTTAAATTCTCAGAAGAGTTTCATCTATAATGATTCTATTTCACAGAAGTATTTTTAATAGATAATACATGTTATTTATTAATATATATATATATATATATATATATATATATTCCCTTTATCAGTAAAGAAGATTTTTTAATTTTAAGATTTTAATCAAAGAATATTATTAATATAATTCTAATATAATTTTATTATATTTTTTAATAATAACTTCTCAATTACTAAAAACAACTATTAACAAGATTCTACAATTAGTTTGCATTAAGACTGGTGTCAATTACACAAGGATACTAGAAAAAAATATATATTGATACCTCATGAAGTTTATGATATTGAACATTTATTTTAATGTTTATAGCAATTTTACTTATAGGAGAATATGGTACAATATTTCTCAAATAATTAAAGAATTAATATAATATCTAAAGAGAATTAGTATCATATATTTTTAAACAATTAAAAGAAGTCGGCGTAAGGACAGAAAAATTAAAAGATTTATTTGCAAATCTTGCAAAACTTTATAGTAGTAATGTAATTTACCATAGAAAAAAAAATTGAAGGAGGCTTGTGTCCGTATTCGGATACGTTCACTTACATATCTGTTAGTCACAAATGAAATAATACAGAAACTACAACATCATTAGTAAAAAATAAATAAATAGAAATCTTATAAAATAATGTATATTGAAAGAGGAATACTCATTTTATATGTACTTGTGATACAAGGTTAATAACTACTTTCAATAATTGATTATTTCTTATTAATATCATGATTATAAAAAAAAATTTTAAAAAAGATATCGTATCAAATTTTATATCAAAATAGAGAAAAACAAAAAACAAAAAAAAATGTAGAAGCCATGCTTCCTCTTCGTTTATGGTGTGTCTCGATGAGGAATTTTAAAATTCAAAAAATTTTAAATTTTTGATATTTGAATTTTTGATCTTAATTTCTATCATTCTTAAAATATTTTGTTTAGATAAGTCAATTCAAATTTCTTAAATTTTAAAATTGTTAGGTTGGATATGATAATTTGATTTCACCATAATAAAATTGATTTTAAAAATTATTTATATTCAGAATTTTAAATTAAATTTTATAAAAGTAAATTTAGCTAATTTTTAAATATTTAATAATTTTAAAAATTAATATTAAATAATATTTAATTTTTAAATATATTTTTGAATATTCAATAATTAAAAACATGAAAAGATAAGAGATAATATAAAATATATAAATAAAATAAGAAGAAAAAAAATGAGAAATTTTAAATTCTTACTCTTTTGAGAAAATTTAAAATTCTATTATCTCAAGAAATTTCACAAATGTTTGAATTTCAAATTCCTTATAAATTCTTCATCCAAACAATGTATTTCACTTCAAAAAATTTAAAAATTTTCAAAGAAATAAATTACTCCATTTAAATTTTCCATTCAGGCAAATATATTGAAGAAGAAAAAAAATCTACTGAATTTTGGTGATAAAAAAAGTTAATAGTTTCAGCTTCAAGTCCATCAGCATACGTTGCTTTTCTGCTTCAACCAACCAATCAACGATGTAGTGCTTAAAAGCCCCACTCTTCTTGTATTGCTCATTTTGTCAGCAAAAGCTGCAAACCATTTTGCAGCTACAACTGCTAAAATTCTAAATTTAAGATACAAAGCCAGTTATTTATCATAAGGCCTCGGAGAGGTAAAGATTAGGAAGTCTTCAGGTCCCTTTGTGGTTGTCTTTTTGCTTCCATTGAGGGGTTTGTTTATTGTATTTAAAATCTCAATTATATATTTTACATTAAAACATGTATCATAATAAGAATTGATATTATGCATTTTAATAACAAACATTAGGTTTGAACTTGAACAGAAAAATTGGTTTATAGGATAACCATGCTTTATATATATGCAGGATAGATTAATTGATTTGGGCTACATATGTAACTTTTCACCCTGAAATTTGATTCCAATTTTTTTTTTAATTCATTTATGTAATTCATGCAATGTCTTAAAGTTGACAATAATAGTAATGTCTTAAAGTTGACAATAAATGACTATTATGTACTTACATAATATAATTTCTACTGACCAAACATTATTTTACCATGACCAAGAATTGATCTTGAAAACACCTTGTCAACCTCCCTATTTCAAAACAGATGTTACAACCATTCAGCCAAGACTCTTGTTAAGTTCGATTCCTATTTAAATGGAGGCATCATTTATATCCTCCAAGAATGCTGATCTGATATATTCCAATTCATAGAGGGCATTTTGCAACATTCAGCAAAATACTTTGGCAACAACATATAAATCCTAAAATAGTATTAGTTAAATTGTCACGTCATTACACATGTTAGATGGCATCTAGTGTAATAATTGTCAAAACAGCATTCAGTTGCAAGATAATATGATCACTAAATACAACTATCATATCAGAATCTACATAGAAACTAATGTGAAAAATGTAAACTTGAAGCTAGCCCTTCTACAAAAGGACCCCAAAAAATAATACAAATCTCCCTGCCTTTGTAGAGTCCTCATTCCTCGATCAAAATTACACATGGTTCTTATCTTTTTAAAAGAGTAAAAAGTGTATTCATTTCTGGCACGAGATGAACAGCTGAGTAGAAGTGCAGCCCCTTAGGGCTCAAAGGAAGGATATCATTCAGTTGCTGAAGAAAGATTTGACACAATGAGCAAAGCACATTTTAATGCCATGAGGCCATTTAGAAATATTTCTCATGATTTTCTATAAAATCAGTCCATACCTTATGCCTTAGTCCGTCTAAATTCAAACCATATCTCATAGTGATTGAATAGCAAGCTATCATGAGTATGCTTCCCAAGATACTCAAGCCCCAAACTTGAAAGCCTCTTTGTGCATTCCTCCCCTCCCAACCTTGAACAGAACTTTATATTATGTGATACAAAGATGCGTCCATCATAAGGTTTCAATTTAGATGCTAATCTTTCCAGTCCGGTCCACACAAGTTTATCAGGCATATGAAGAAATACAGCACTAGCATAGATCAAATCATACATTGTGCCAGAACCAAACTTGGTGAACTCCATGTCGTCCCCTTTAACTATCAATGGCCGTTTGTGCAAGAGGCCTTGGGCTGGAAGCTCATACCTAAATACGGCCATCAGAGAGAGCTCATCTCTTTCAAGACAATGGAAGTGTTCAGTATTTAGGTATCGAATGAAATGCAAACCAACTCGAAGAGTGCCACAGCCTATCTCTAGCACCTGTGATTCTGGTCTGAGTTGAGTGGTTTGAGCGAGAAACTCAAACACATCTCTTCCCCCTGCCCAAGGTTCACCATAGTTGCTATGGTGCTCTTCAACGAGGAGTTCCCCCGGGCATGGCAAAGCTGTGTGATTATCTGCTTCAGGTCCCTCATAGTGAGATATGCCTTTAAATCTGCGTTTGGAAGAAGAAATAGAAATCAGAAAACCCAAAAGGGAATTCATGCATCCATGTCAATCAAAGTGAAATTAGAAATTGCAATCAACGCCTCAAAAATATGTTTCCTAAGAGGCAACCAAAACATGAGCTCTTTTATTTGGCATCCAATCAAAAGAGAGAGAGAGACAATGACAGTGACAGAAACAAGAGTTCTAATGTTAAAAATGCATCATAATGAAAAAACATAGCATTCAGGTGTTCATTTGTTCATTCAATGTGATAAAAGGTATGCTGTCTGACAAAAAAGAAAAAGCTTTAAGTTTGAACTGTTATATATAGTGCTTGAGTTTGAAAACCCTGTGATTATTAACATTCAAACAAATGAGTACTGTGAGGGTCAGGAAATTCTCAACCACTATAAATTGCAAATTCAATATTGAAAAACATGTCAATTTTAAAATATGTGAAGTCACTCATGCACCTTCTATCCCTTTTGCTTACTCCAGCACAATTTCATTGCTACTCTACTGTTCAGTTAGTTGACTTATTATTCTATATTGGCTAATACTGAGAAAAAACTCCAATTTTAATCGAGAACAACACTACTATACCTAAGTTTTGTCCTATCGGCTAATACATAGAATCTGAATTGTTAGAACTGGAACCAATGCCCCACCCCATTTCCCTACCAAAAAGCAACTTTCATTGTAAACTAATAAATTACCATTCTGAAGACTCTAATAAAATGAATAAGATTAAAAATGGTAATCTCAAAACAAAGGTATGCTCTCTCACACACACAAGGGGATAAAAACCAAGAGCTTGGAAAAGGGTCTTACTGTCTAAGATCCTCAAGTTGCTGAACCCTAGTGCGAGGGTTGATCCCCTTGCGAAGCACATTGTCTTGCATATGAAGCCCATTTGCTCGGATTTGTTCTTTCACCCACTCAACATCCTCCTTCCTTGTTGATATGGGAACATAACCGCTGCTAGGCTCAGAAACACCAACACTAACACCAACAGCATCACCAACACCAGCACTCCTAGCATTGGAGACAGACATGTCTGAAGAATGAGGGCAGGAGCAGGATGAAAGAGAGGACAAAAGGAAGAACAAGAACACCGCAGCCACTAAAGCAGATAGAACCAGAACAGGCACCGATACCACCACACCCTTCGACATCGCCCTCGAAGCCGAGAGGGCCATCTATGACTGACCACACCTTAGTGGACCCAACCTGTGAAAGCTATCTATCAGGCAAATCAAAACTAAGCAAACAAGCCATTGCTCATAAAATCTTAGTTACCTAAACACTAACTGTACCACAAATACAATGCAATCAAAATCCTAATTGAATGGCCTCAAAATTTATTCATAAGGCATGAAAACATAAGTGAGCTAAATCAAAACCCAAATTGAAAATCCATGTACGGTATATACAGAATCATGAATTTCAGTGACATAGTATAACAACACTAAGAGACATATCATAAGGCATGAAAACATAAGAGAGCTAAATCAAAACCAATTGAAAATCCCATGTTTATAGAATCGTGGAATTCAGTGGCATAGTTTTAACAACCTATTTGTGTATTGGAAAGCGACCCAGTTGGATAATTGATGCAAAATACCATTTTGAAGAGTCACTTGAACCCAAATCTAACACAGCGGAGACATTGCGCACGGATCATGAAATGGGGGAGAGACAAAAACAGTCTGAATATGAAAAAGTGAAGAACTTGCATATTGTGTGGGGAGAAAAAAGAGAGAGAAAGAAAATGCAAAACGTTTTAATGAATCAGACAAAGAAGGAATGTGAAAATTCGCACCCGTTAGAGAGTAGATCTAGGAGAGTATAGCGCCACAGGGTTGGAATGCGTTGAAGGAGAGAGAGAGAGAGAGAGATAAAAGAGGATCGGAACAAGGCTAAAAAAACATTACACGAGTGAAGAGAGAATCACAACGACAGAGGAGAGGTTAACCCATGTTTTGTGGTACCGGTCGGTGTATGAAATCATTCACCAAAAATCCTCAAAATATTATATTCATTATATTACAAAATACAAACTTTTGTTATTAAAACATCAGTAGGGGAAAGATGCACCAAATTTATTTTTGTACGGTTTTTGGAGAAGATGATCCTGTTGTAAGAATTTAAAGGTGAAAGTATTTAATAATGTGAAAGCTAAAAATATGCTTACTAAAATTTATATCTTTTATGATAGATATGGATTAAGTATAGATAATATTTTGTTTAGATTAAGTATAAATTAAATATTTTTACTAATAGGTATAGATAATAAAGATAACATAATATTTTGTTTAGATTAAGTATAAAATGGAAAATATTAAAATAGAATATCAATAAAATAAAAAACTTTTGTTGTTAGGATAAATAAAAATATAAGGAAAGAAAATAAGGGAATATCTCCCCATTTGTTTTTTTTTTTAATCGGTAGAAAATGTTATATCCTTATCATACATATACCTGATTCCAACTACTAAAATAATTCCTCTCCACTTGTCTAAATGAATAAAAATTAAAAACAAAAAAATATATAAATTATAATATATATATATATATATATATATATAATAGTTAA